CGGCGGCGGATGGAGCCGACTCTGACGACGAGTCGGTCTCCTGCGTCCTACTTTGGTAGACTCGAGATGGGGCTAGTCTACTTTCGGCTTTGGTGTTGTCGTCTGTGTTCGAGTAGCTGGCATCCTCGTGGCCAGAATAGCCATTCGAGGGGCTCTTCTTCCCCTTTTCACAGGCCTCATTGTGGGCGCTTCGAGCACACGTTTCAAGGATCGAGTCAAGGATCCGTTCGAGTCCCACCTCGCCGCCGAAGCCGGCCGGCGTCAGTCTCTCTTCACCTCGCCTCGAAGCATCACCCTCGATTGATGAGCCTGTAGCCTTCTGGCCTATCGTCTCGTTGCCATGACACGCTTGACCGGTTGCCGAGTTGGTCGGAGCCGATCCGGACGCCGAGACTCGACTGCCCCAACCGGTGCCACGAAGGTCGGTGGAAGCAGTGACATTGGTGGAAGAGGCCACTCCGGCGGCTGCCGCCACGACGGCGGTGGCGTTCATCAACAACGAGGGCAAATGGTGGTCGTAGTAGCTGGCAACAGCAGCTGCAGCTTCCGCCGCCTTTTGAGACGACAAGACAGAGGCGGGGATCACGGAGGAATAGGGCGCCAGACTCCAGTCGACAGGCGAAACCGAGGCTCGTGGCATCTGCTGTTGTTGGTGACCGTGAAGCGGAGGCTCGAGCGACGACTGCTGTTGGATGTGTTGATGAAGATGATGTTGATGAAGATGATGCTGATGCTGATTCTGATGATGAGGATGAGGATGAGGAGAATGTGGAAGAGGGTAGGAGGGGGCAGTCGAGCAGGTAGAAGATGGAGAGGGGGCGGAGGAGACGACAGATGCTGAAGAAGAGGCATGGGGCCCAGAGGTTCTGTAGACGAGTGGATAGACAGACTCAGTGGGCAGGTCTGTGGAGTGCAGGTCCACATGACTCGAGGGCAACATGTGATGGCTTTGCTGCTGCTGGTGGTGCGAATGGTGTTGCTGCTGACCCGAGTGGTCCAGCTGAAATAGCATATAAGACTGCTCCTGCTGTTGTTGTTGTTGTTGTTGCGGTAGTTGTGGTTGTTGTTGCTGAGTGTGGTGCTGATGCTGATGCTGATGGTGCTGATGCTGATGTTGGTGTTGATGCTGGTGAAATGCTTGCGAGTGGAGATAGTCGTGAGGTTGGGCGAGTGAGGTTAAATGGTGCTGGGGCTGCGACAGAGGCTGCGGATAGACTGACGACGAGCGAAGCGGTCCAACGGTACCGGCCACTTGCGACCGTGAGAGGGTCGAGTGAGTCTGCGATCGGCTCAGGCAGACGCGGTCTGTGGTGCCGGCCGAGTCGGCGCCTGGAAGACGTGTGGTCTGGTGCTGGTAGTCTGTGGCGACAGGGGTTGATCGGACGCTGGAGGTGCAGGTGGCGGGGAATTCGGGCGAGTTGGTAGAGCAGGAGGAGGAGGAAGAAGAAGAGGAAGAGGAAGAGGAAGAAGAAGAAGAGGAAGAGGAGGAAGATGAGGGGGAGGAGGAGGAGGAGGAGGAGGGTAAGGCGAGGGAGGCATGCGATTGTGTCGAGTAGCCAGGGTGTTGCGGTTGTGTCTGGGATGGAGGTGGCGCCAGGGGGGTAAAAGTATGCGACTGCAGCGGGTAGAAGTGGGCCGAGGTGCCGGGGAGTCCCGCGGGTGATTGTAGACCGAGGAAGCCGTCGGTGCCTGTGTGCATGTGGACGGATGGCTCGACAAACAGGCCGTTGGAGGACTGGGCAAGTGGCGGTGGATATGCGTGTGAAAGGGAGTGTGACTGCGATTGAGAGTGTGAATGGGAGTGTGAGTGAATATGGGAATGTGGATGTGTGTGTGGCGTCAGACCGAGCGAAAGGGGGGAGGGAGAGTGAGGCGGATGGAAGTGGGGCAGCGAATAGGTATGCGGGTAGAGTTGGAGTTGGGCCTGAGTGTAGCTGAGTTGGTGGGAGTGAAATGGTGGATGTATGTGAAGGTCGGCTTGGTTGAGTGTCATCGGCGGGTTTGCAAGCAGAGCCGGTGGTTGGGGAGGGGGATAACCGGCAGTTCTGCTGTCCGAACGAGGCGTCGTCGTGTAGATTGCCGGTTTTCCGGGCCCCGAGCGACCCAAGGCCGGAGCAATTGGCTCGGCAACAGAGGGGCCCAGTTCGCCGAGTCGTCGGGGCAGGCGACAACTTGGGCCTCGGGTCGTCTCGGAGCTGGTACCGCAGGTCTGGCCGCCGGCATTCAGCAGAGAAGGAGGGGGGGTCGACTTGGCGATCGACGAGATGGCGGAGTCTGCAGTCATGCTGGTGGCGTGGTTGTGTAGATTGAGGTTCAGGTTGAACGTGAGTCCGTTG